CCGGGCACCGCAATGAAAAGTAGCCCTGCTCTCCACAACTAGAGAAAGCCCGTACACAGCAATTGGGGGGCGGCAAAAAAAAAAAAAAAAAAGAATAAATAAGACAGATAAATAGTGGGTCACACGGGGAATGTGGTGGGCAGAGCTGATCCGATATGAGGGCAAGACATGGGAGCTGAGGCCATCTTTCAGCCTTAGCACCTGAAGGATAGAGCCACCAGAGGGTGTTGTGGGAGAGTCAGAGCCCTGATCCGAAGCCCAGAGATGTAGGGCCCGGCTCGAGGCTCCCAGGCAGGTGCAAACTGGCTACCCCCTCCCCAGCCCAGCTCAAGATTGACATCTCCCCAGCCCCTGAGAACCCCCACTTCTGCCTCTCCCCGGAGCTGCTTCATGTCAAGCCCTACCCAGACCCCAGGGGTCGGCCCACCAAGGAGATCCTGGAGTTCCCCGCCCGTGAGGTCTACGCCCCCCACACCAGCTACAGGTACAGCCTCTGGGGCAGCCGGGCACTTGAATGGCGGCATTCAGGCATCGTGCAAAGTGAGATGCCCTTTCCCCGACACTCACAGACACTGGCCTGAGATGCCACTGCTCTGCTTTAATGGGGGATGGATAGGAATGAAGGGGCGTGTCCTTCCTCCACCCCTCCTCGACGGTCCGTGTCCTCTGCCTGCGTCCCTGCCTGCTTCCGTCTCTGCTCCATGGCCGGAAATGGGGCGCAGCGCCCTGGCCGACCTCAGCAGACAGGCAGCTCCTCCCTGTGCAGGGGCCGCATGGGGCATGGCAGCATCCCTCGGTGCATGACTGGTCCTCAGTTCCACCCAGACAGTCTCAGGCTGGGAGCGCCGCCGTGTGGAGTCTGGGAGGGAGGTGAGGTTCAGCCAAGGCGCAGGGGTCCCCATCCCGCTGCCTGGCATGCCCAACCCCCTACCAGGCGTACCTCTCCTGAATCTCTCTCAGCCGCTGCTGCTGTGCCATCATCTCCTGCCTCTGTCGCTGCACGTGGCCCATGAGGGCCCACATGATGTGGCTCTGCTTGTCTGCATGGGCCTGTGGGGTCAGGACAGAAACCTCAGCTGGGGGCCTCCTCACCTGTCCCTCGACCCCACCCAGACCCCCCTGCTCCCCACTGCATCTGTGTGACCCGGAAAGTCACTGCCACTCCTTGGCCTCAACTTCCCCACCTGTAAAATGGGGGTGACACAGGAGTCCCTTTGTGGGGTTGTTATGAGCATGATGTGGATTTTTAGAGGGCATAAAACAGTGCTGGATACATCATGGGCACTCAAGAAATTCTCTAAATAGTATGCATTTATTGAGTAACTCCCATGTGCCCCACCCCATGATGAGGATTTTATCTGCACTGAGTCCCTGGCTCTGCTTTGAGAAATCAGTTGTCGCCCTTTTTTGCAAATAGGGAAACTGAGGCGTGGGAAGGGACATGGGTTTTGCCCAGAGACACACAGAGTAGAGGCCAGGGTACTGGAAGGCTGACCTTTGGGGGGTCTCTGGGACAAAAGGTTCAGAAATGAGGTCTGGTTGTGAATCAGGGTCTTGACTCCCCCAGGGCTGGGGACCCCTTACCTTTAAGGCCTCAAATTCTTGGCGGGCATGGCCCAGCCAAGCGCCTCTCAGCTGGACTTCCATCCGCTTCATTTTCTTCCGCAGCACCTGCTGTCCTTGGGCCACTTCCCCCAGCGCCTGGGCTGTGGCTTCAGCCTGCAGCTTGAGACCATCCTCTGCCATCTGATCAATAGACAGTGGATGTTAGTAGGATGACCTACTGGGACTGGCCTGATTTTAACACTGGAAATCCTGTATTCCAGGAACCCCCCTCAGTCCTGGGAAAACCTGACAGTTGGTCACCCTAGGCATAACTCTCCCATAGACTCCTATCCACCCCGCAACACCCCAACTGCAGCATCTACCTGCATCTCCAGTAGGCTCGCACGTAGCTCCTGGGCTGCGTCCTGGCCCTGGCTGACCTTCTGCCCCAGGAGCCCCAGCGCCTGGCCATAGAGGCTCAGGCTGCGCCCGGCCTCTGTCAGCTGTGCCTCGGTGGCCCTGTACACGCCGTTGAGAGCCTGGCTCAGCTGCAGGGCCCCGTGAAAGAGCAGGGTCAGCTCCTCCTGCTGTGCCGGCTCCGAGCCGCTCATGGGGGCCACCAGGGCAGGCTGGGCCACCATTGCCAGGGCGCACAGCAGACTCAGCATGAGCATGGGCATGACTAGGGGGCTGGGGGTGTGGCCACAGCAACACTGCTGCTGCCTTTTATGCCTTAATACTCCCCTTAACCTCAGGTCAATCGTTAACTGGCCAGCCGGGTGCCCCTTGTTGTGCAAGGGCCTGGCGGTGGCACTACAGTTGCATCAGGCGAATGTCCAGCCGGGCCACGCTGGCATCATGCTGGCTGGGGCTCGGGGCCAGGTGTGGGCTGGGGACGCTGGGAGAGAACAGGCCCAGGCCCCGCTGGGAGACCCTACGGCTCCTAGCCTCAGTTTCCCCTCCTGTGGATAGGCGTGACAACAATAACGGCAATAACAGTGAAGCTTTTATGAGCTCCAGTGGTTTGCCCAGAGCTGTCCCACTGCTGTTACGGTAGCTGGTCTCATAATCCTCCCATGAGCCTGCGATGCTGGAGTTTTTGTTGGCCTGGTTAAGAGCTAAGGGAGCAGGTACAGATGGTGGAGACTCTCCCAAGGCCACACAGCCTGACTCCAGGACCTCCACGTACCCTGGCTCAATGCTAACTGCCATTTGTCTCCCTGGATGACTGTGGGCAAGTGCCTCTGTTTCCCTGTGAAATAGAGTGTGATGTGAGTCCCTGCCCACAGGCTGCTGGTGAGAAATAAATGAGTCATTTCACGTCGGGTGCTTAGGACAGAGCCCAACGCACCCAGAGCCAGTTGGTGCCACATTAGTGTTTGGTGCAATTATTGACATTTTTGTAATTTAGCATCATTGGTATTACAAAGGCTCAGCTGGGGTGGCTTGATGCCCCCATTAGACAGATAGGGAAACTGAAGCCCAGGGGGCAGTTAGGGCTCCCTCCTGGGGGAGGGAGACAGAACCCTGACCCCAGCCCAGCCCTTGCCTTCAACTCCAGCCTTGGTTTCCCCACCTGAGAGACACGCCATATAATTCTAGTGGCCTCTCCTGGGGGAAGGGGTGGTCAGGCTCCTGTGCAGGGCTCAGGCCTGGTGCTGGTTGCCTGGGCTACCTTCTCGGAAGCCTGGCCCTCAGCACCCATCTGTCTCCTGTCCTCTGTCTCACTGTGTACCCTCAGTACCCCCGAAGTCCCTCTGTGTTCCCACCCTCTGCCACGCCGTTCCCCCGCTTGTGCTCTGAGGGTGCCCGTCTGCCCTCCATTCTCTGCCAGTCACATCTCCCGCCTGGCGCCCATACGTGTCCCTGACCCGGTTCTCAGTGCCCCAGTGGTGTGGCCACTGTCCCCCAGCTCTCTGTCCCTCTGACGTGGACACGCCCCTGCCCCCACAGGAACCTGCTGTATGTGTACCCACACAGCCTCAATTTCAGCAGCCGCCAGGGCTCCGTGCGCAACCTCACTGTGCGAGTGCAGTACATGGCGGGCGAGGACCCCAGCCAGGCCCTGCCGGTCAGTGGCTGGGCCCAGGGGGAGGCGGGCGGGGTGTCCCCCGCCGGCCCCTCATGCCCCTGCTCCCCCAGGTCATCTTTGGCAAGTCCAGCTGCAGTGAATTCACCCGCGAGGCCTTCACACCGGTGGTCTACCATAACAAGTATGTGGGGTCGGGGTGGGGGGACTGATGGGGGTACAGTGGGGCAGGAAGGGGGGCCAGGGTCAGGGGAGGGGTGCCATCTCCTGGAGTGCTAATGCGGGAACCCGAGGCAGGGAGCAGGGACAGTGGGGCCCAGCAGCACTGGGGGACCATGTGGCAGGTGGGGCGGGGCAGGCAAGGGGGAGCCCAGCCCCCAGCAGAACCCCCAGCCCGGCCCTGCCAGGTCCCCTGAATTCTACGAGGAGTTTAAGCTGCGTCTTCCGGCCTGTGTGACCGAGAACCACCACCTGCTCTTCACCTTCTACCACGTCAGCTGCCAGCCCCGGCCAGGCACGGCCCTGGAGACCCCTGTGGGCTTTACTGTGAGCTCTTCAGCACTGCCAGCCCCCACCCCCATGCCCAGCCCTCCCGACCCCTGTCCGGTCCCATACCTGACCCCCAGCCCCTCCCCAGTGGATCCCACTGCTGCAGCACGGCCGCCTGAGGACCGGCCCCTTCTGCCTCCCTGTGTCCGTGGATCAGCCCCCGCCCAGCTACTCCGTGCTCACACCGGACGTACGTGCTCTGGACTCCCTGCCAACTAGCACCCTGTCCCCCGTCAGTGCTCCCAAGTCCCTCATTCGTGCCCTGCTTTCCTTCCCACCAATACCCCTGGGAGCCTTGTCCTCCGTTAGGGCCTCCAGGGCCCCTGCCTGCCTCGTCACACCCACCCCCATTATTACTCCTGTGTGACCTGCTGACCCCGTGCGTGTCCCTCCCTGTCCCCGACTAGCCCTGCCTCGTTACTGCCCCCTCCCCTGCCTCTGCACTCACTGTTCCATAGTGAGATTCCACTGCCTCTCCGCCGCAGCCCCCCACTTGCAGCCCTGCTTGCCTCCCTAATCACTGTCCCTAGAGTATCCCCTCCCCATGCGAATGTTCTGTCACCCTCCCACATAGCCTTTAATTTGCACCCCGGGGACCTGGAGTCCTCCCATCATGCTATTTCCTGTTCATTCCCTCCAATAACAGTCACTCTGGGTTTCCATTCTCCCGTGAGCATCCCAGGCTTCCGGCCTGCCCGGTGGACCCCCGTAGCGCTCCCCTCCATCTGCCCCCATCTCTGGGCTGGGCGGGGCCCAGGGGCAGGGTGCCAGGTGGCTCCCCGGGGCGGGGCTGTGCTCAGGCCACAGTGTCGCAATGGCTGAGGCTGGTGGCCTGAGCGGTGGGGAGGGCCGGCCGGTGCCCACTTGGTGTGTCCCTCCCGCAGGTGGCGCTGCCGGGCATGCGCTGGGTGGATGGCCACAAGGGTGTGTTCAGCGTGGAACTCACGGCTGTGTCCTCTGTGCACCCCCAGGTAGGGGTTGGGGCCAGAGCCCAGGAGTCCGGCCCTGGGGTTGGGCAACAGTTTCCGCTGACCAGGGAGGCCTGGCTTCGGGCCATTGGACATGACTTTGGTCAGCGGGGCCAGGCTCCAGGGAAGCTGCTGACTCAGGCGGGGGCGGCCGTGCCAGTGGCCGTCCTAGCTGGAGCTTTGGCCTTTGCATGGTCTCTCCTCCCCCCACCCCATGTGTCCCTTGCTATTTCTGTGATCACTCCCCATCTTTTCCTTTTCTTCTTGACCTACCGTCTTGTCCCTTTTCTCATGTATTTTCCATTCACTGGTCCCCAACCTCGGTGTCCCAGCCTACTCAGCCTCGCACTCCATCCCCTGGGCCCTTTCTGGACTGGGGGCCCTGGCTTCGCCCTGCTCACCCCTGGTCCCCCACCAGGACCCCTACCTGGACAAATTCTTCACCCTGGTGCACGTCCTGGAGGAAGGGGCCTTTCCATTCCGGCTCAAGGATGCCGTGCTGAGTGAGAGCACCGTGGAACAGGAGCTGCGGGCCAGCCTGGTGGCCCTGCGACTCGCCAGCCCTGAACCCCTTGTCGCCTTCTCCCACCACGTACTGGACAAGCTCGTACGCCTGGTCGTGCGGCCCCCGATCATCGGCGGCCAGATCGGTGCGCGGGCACAGCCTCATACCTTAGTTTCCCATCTGGAGAATGGGCCTTGGGTCCCCTGGTCCTGGGTGACCTCCCATAGCCCATTTATCTCTCTGGTCTCAGTTTTCCAATCTGAAAAATGGTCCCTCAGTCCCCTAGTCCCCTGACTTTTTGATGGCCACGTGGGCCCCTTGGACCCTGAAGTCTCTTCCCTGGGGAAGTAGAAAGCCCTGGTACCTGGAACTCGACCTCTCTTCTGCCCGGCAGTAAACCTGGGTCGTGTAGCCTTTGAAGCAATGGCTCATGTAGTCAGCCTCGTCCACCGGAGCCTGGAGGCTGCCCAGGACGCCCGTGGTCACTGCCCACTGCTGGCTGCCTATGTCTTCTATGCCTTCCGACTGCCTGGCACGGAGCCCAGCCTCCCAGGCGGTGAGTGTTGGTTGGAGACCCTGGGGCACGGGAAATACCTGGGAGCAGAGCATCCCAAGCAAAGGGAAGGGCATGTGCAAAGGTCCTGAGGCTGCACAGGCTTTGGTTGGTTTGGGCAATTTACAGGAGAGAGAGAGAGAACTTTTTGCCCCAGCCCCAGGGATGTGGTCTTTGTAAACTTGACTGGCATGTGATTCAGCCAGTCAGCAAGCAGGGACTCAAGCAGAGCTGCCTGGATTTGAATCTCAGTTCTGCCTACAAGTTCTGTGACTCTGGGCCAGTGACTTTACCTCTCTGGGCCTGTTTTCCCATCTATAACACGATGATAACAATAGTGCCTCTCACAGGGGTGCTAGTAATAGTCAGTGGCACAGTAATCCATGCAAAATGTTTGGCACACTGAGCGCTCAATAAAGTTGGATTTTTTTTCATTTGCTAAATAATTAACAATCAGCACTAAGACTTATAACGTGCCAGGCACCGTTCTCAGTGTTTTTTATTCTCCCCAAAATTGCTATGAGGCAGAGCCATTATCACACCCATTTTACAGGTAAAGAACCTAGAGGTTCAGAGAAAGAAAGTGACTTCGCCAAAGGCAGCTGACTGGGAAGGGGCAGGTGGGCAGGGGGCTGAGCGTATTCCTTCTATCATCAGGGGCCCTTCCAGTGACGCTGCAGCCTGCCACGCTGGCCCATGGCCCTGGCCGCCCCGCGAGCCTCTACCTGGCTCGCTCTAAGAGTATTAGCAGCAGCAACCCTGACCTGGCTGTGGCCCCTGGCTCCGTGGATGACGAGGTCTCCCGCATCCTGGCCAGCAAGGTAGGGCAAGGGGCCCCTGCTCTCTCCAGCCTCAGTGGTCATGGCTGCCAGGTGGGCAGGTGAAAGATCTCAGTATTGACAGAGGATAGGAAGGGCAGACAACAGTATGGATGAAGACTTGACCCTGGGTTATTCCCTGGCGGTCCAGTGGTTAGGACTCCAAGCTCTCAACTGCCAAGGGTGCGGGTTCAATCCCTGGTCAGGGAACTAAGATCCTGCAAGCCACGCAGCCTGGCCAAAAAAAAATAGACTTGACCCTGGACGTTAGGGCTGGGCTCTGGCTGTCACAGGTTGGGAGCTGTGACTCGGACTCTTAGGTTGACCCAAGGATGGATGACTGGATCTTGAAAAAAGAGCACCATGTACATAGCGCAGTGGTGCATTTCCATGTGTACCCTATGCATGTACGTACACGGGGCACATATATGCACGCACCCCACGCACATGGGAACGCGGGTGCATGTACTCATGCATTCCATGCACAGACGTATGCGGGAGGCATATACGTGTGCACCCCATGCACATTTGCGCACACACACATATTCCAGGGTTGCGTGTGGGTGTCCACGTGGGCACATGTGTGGCCCAGGACAGTGAGCACGCTTGGTGTTTCACGCTGGTTTCCCTGCCCTCTGCCCATAGATGCTACCACTTATCCGTGTATCTCCAGGGTATCGACCGCTCACACTCCTGGGTGAATTCTGCTTATGCTCCAGGAGGCAGCAAGGCGGTGCTGCGACGGGCACCCCCTTATTGTGGGGCCGACCCCAGACAGGTGCCCTCCCTGCCTGCCCCTGCACGTGTGTCACCCCACCTCAGCATGAGCTCCTCCCACCTTCCTGGCTGGGGCCAACTAACCTAGGGGGGCTGCCTGGAGGAGGCAGCGGACCCCCTCCTGCCTTTGTTTGGGGCTGTGGAGTGGATGTTGTAGACAACACAGGGTCATCTTAACCAGCCTTTTGCTGCCACACAGACCACAGCCTCAGGCAGAGACAGAAGGGGCCGGGTGGTATGGGTGGTATGCAAATAGCATTGCAAATGATATGCACATTCAGCCACTCTAACCTCACTGTCCCGCATGGCCTGATTCTCTCCCTTTAATCCACTCTGTTCGGGAGACTCTTAACTGTCCCCTTGACACAGCAGCCTGAATGATGCCCAGGGGATGGAACTGAACCTCTGGGCTCCCCAACCCCGTTTCAGGCAGAGCGACCCCTGTGGGCAGCTTCCTTTGCTTTGCCCCTTCCTGGGACCTGGTGTGGGGAGGGGCTTTGCCATCAGACCCTGGATCGGGATCAAGTCCTGGTTCTGCTATGGGCTCCCCCTGTGCCCCAGGTTCTGAATTGTCAGGAGTGAAGACTTGCTATTCAGTGCAGTGGTCCAAGCCTGGGAGAGAGTTAGGGCATCACAGGCAAGATTTTGTTGGGGAGATAGATCCTCAACCCAGCCTCATCCCTGAGTTACTGGCTAGTCGGGGGAGATAGACACCCATCAAACAAACACATGAATATGTAAGTGCAGGGGGTGAAAATACCTGAAAGGAAACGAACTGAAACAGGGCCACCAGCCTCCCTCTGGGTGGTCTGGGGAGCCTCTCCCGGGAGGTGTCATTTTTGCTGGTACCTGAAGGGTAAGATAGAGCCAGCCAGTGAAGGGTAGGTGTTCCAGATGGAGGGAAAGGCATATGCAGAGGTTGGAACCAAGCTCAGAGGCCCCTGGGCACCAAGGGCTGGATTCCCTGCATACCTGGCCCCAGGCCGTGTTCCAGCTCTGTACCTGTCACCTAGGCAACCTGCACCGCCGTGGCAGCCAGGGAACTGTTCACAGCACAAGCAGGGGGACTTTTGGACAGTCTTCTAAGATTTGCTGGGAGTCTGGGTTCATGGGCCTTTCCAGTCCCCCCATGTTTTTAACAGGTCTCCCCACCAGTGCCCTCAGTTCTCTGGGGTGTCAGCTGGGCCTGGAAGAGCACATAGGAGGTGACAAGGTAGCAGGAGGGCAGGCATTCCAGGCAGGAGGCAGCAGTGAGGCTGGCCTTTGCGGTAGATGGCCCATCTGATGCGGGCTGAGGAGCCCAGGGCATGTGGCTGGGACTATGGGAGCTAGGGGGGGCCCCCACGGCCAAGGCAAGGACCTGGGCAGTTTCCAGGGCCGGGCCAGCTCCATCACTGGGTCTCCTCTCCCCCGTCAGCGGCCTCACCTGACCAGCAAAGGAGGCGGGGAGAGTGGAGCTTGAGCACCTCATGCCCATTTCACAGATGGGGATACTGAGGCCTGGCAAGGCCCCAAGCAAGGCTGGAGCTGGCCAGGCCTGGAAACTGGGGCTCTCTTGGCTGCTCCCACTGCCTCTCATCACCATCTCACCTCCTCTGTCCTTATCTTTCTTTTTCTTCTTTCTCCTCCTCCATTCTCCCTTTAATCCCCTTTGTCTATACTCTACACCCCTGTCTACACTCTTCCTCCTCCACCCTGGTGCCCTCCGCCTCTGTCCATCCCTGGACTCACGGACTCACACACACTCTCTGCCCTCGTCCCCACTTGGCTCACCTCCTCTGACCATGTTCTCTTCTCCGTCTACACTGATTTTACCCTTCCCACCTCCACTCCTCCCATCTCTTTTCTCTTATCTTTGTCTGCTGGGTCCTGCTCCATCTGACGGGCTCCCGTCCACATTCTTGCCTGTTCCGTTCACCCTGCTTGTCCCCTCCTTACCTGTGTCTTGCTTCTCGTCTCTTCCATCACATTTTTACCCTCTCCATCCACTCCCACACACTTCTGTCTTTATTAACATGGCTCTCTCCATCCACGTCCCCGCTGTCTGTCCGCGTGGCCACGTCTTTCCTCCATCCACGCCGACTGTCTCTCTCCTCTGTCCGTACCACCTGCACCCACTCTGACCCCCCTCGCCATCCCATCCCCTCGTCATCCCATCATAGGCCATCGACCGCAGCTCTAGCCGAACCTCTTCCTACCTCGAGGGCTCCTCCTCGACCCCACCAGCCACCCAGCCGAGACCCACTGTGCAAAAGGTAGTGGGAGGCAGGGGGTGGGTGACTCCATTTTGGGGTCCAGAGCTCCCTTGCCCTTGAGCCCAGCAGGGTCTGGAGAGCCCGGGGAAAGGGCACATTGACTCCTCCTGGCCCCTTTCCTCCTGCATGGCCTCTCGCTGCTCTAATCCCAAGCCCTCCAGCTGCATCCTCCCCTGTCACGCCCTCCAGACGGGGGTACGGGGTGGGCTCCTCTGCTCTCTGTGATCCCTGCCCCTGCCCCCAGCTGCTTCACGAGGAGCTGGCCCTGCAGTGGGTGGTCAGCGGCAGTGCCGTGCGCGAGGCTGTCCTGCAGCATGCCTGGTTCTTCTTCCAGCTCATGGTGAGACGCCCTCCTCCCCGCCCAAGAACAAGGGGCCCCCAGGGGAGACTCTCCTTAGGGAGAGAAGCCCCCTGAGATTGTACCTAAGCCCCCTGAGAAGTGGCCCCAAGAGACCCGCACGTAGAGAGAGATAAGAGATACCTAAGGGAATCTCTCCCTGGAGAGGACCCCTGAAAGTTACCTGAAATCCCTTCCACAGTGAGAAGGATCCCCACTACCCACCTTCCCTATAAGACCATTGAGAGACCCCCAACTAGCAAGGAGGCCTCCCCTGCAAGAGAGAGAAGGAAACTGTTGGGATCAGACTTGAGACATCCCCCAAGCTCTTCAAGAGGTGCCTTGAACTATTCCTCCTGACTACAGCTGTCCCCCCTCAATCTGGTGGGCCTTCAAGCCCCACCCTCCTACCTACAGTCAGACGTTGACCCCTGGAGACCTGCTCTAGCCCCACCCGTACTCTCTCAGCCTCCCACCCCTCTGCCTAGCACCCACTCAAGGCCCCGCCCATGTCCTTCTCAAGCCCCACCCACAACCTGCAAAGTCCCACCCACAGCTCTCGGGCCCTCCCCACAGCTATCAGGCCCCACTCTCACCCCATAACTACAGGGCTCAAGCCACATCCAGGACCCCTCATGCCCACCTTTAGCCCACTTCAAGCCACCACTCACAGCCCCCCAGTCTCTGCTCCCTTCTGGCAGGCCGCCTCCACCCACAGCCCCTCAAGACCCACCCCCCTCCCTCTTGCCCCACCCCCAGGTGAAAAGCATGGCGCTGCACCTGCTTCTGGGCCAGAAGCTGGACACACCCCGCAAGCTTCGCTTCCCTGGGCGCTTCCTGGATGACATTGCTGCCCTGGTAGGCTCTGTGGGCCTGGAGGTCATCACCCGCGTCCACAAGGTAAGGGGGAGGGGCCTCCATGGAGGGAGGGTGGGGCAGGGGTGCTCAGGGAGGACATAGAGCCAGCCACATGAGGCATCAGTCCTGTCCAGTGCCTCCTGGCTACAAGACCACGAATCCCATTTGCTGAATCAGTCTGTTCATGCAACATCCATTTCTTAAGCACAGCCCTGTGCTGGGAACTAGAGACACAGCAGTGAACAAAACAGACCCAGTTCCTTACCCTCATGGAGCTAACTTTTAGGGGAAGACTTGAAGGACATGAGGGAGCAATCTATGTGATATCTGGGGGAAGAGCATTCCAGTCAGGGGGCGAACAGCAAGTGCAAAGGCCCTGAGGCAGGACCGTGCCACTGTCAGAGGAGCAGTGAGGAGGTGAGTGGCTGGGGTGAAGTGAACAAAGTGGAGAGTGGGAGTTGGTGAAGGCCGAGAGGTGACAGGGCAGATGCATTAGCCCTTAGCACAGTATCAGAATACAGTAAGTACTCAGTAAATGGATGTTGATGTTCCGAGACCTTGATGGTTATCCAGGCCCTGGACCACTAATTCCAGTGCCCACAGAAGCTGGGCAGACAATGATAATAGTGATAAAATTATGCATTTATTGAGCACTTACTGTGTACTTAAATACTTTATTTTTATTTTTAAAATTTATTTATTTATTTTTATTTGTTTATTTTTGGCTGCACTGGGTCTCCATTGCTGTGCGCGGGCTTTCTCTAGCTGTGGCGAGCGGGGGCTACTCTTTATTGCGGTGCGTGGGCTTCTCATTGCAGTGTCTTCTCTTGTTGCGGAGCACGGGCTCTAGGCACGTGGGCTTCAGTAGTTGGGGCATGCAGGCTCAGTAGTTGTGGTGCACGGGCTTAGTTGCTCCGTGGCATGTAGGATCTTCCCGGACCAGGCCTCAAACCCATGTCCCCTGCATTGGCAGGTGGATTCTTAACACTGTGCCACCAGGGAAGCCCCTAGCGAAATACTTCAGATGGATCACATTAAACTCTCCCAACAACTCCATGAAGTTAGTAGTATTGTTTCCTCCATTATACTGTTGGAGAAACGGAGGCAAAGAATGACTGAGTAACAACTTGATACCATGTAAGTGGGAATGGGCAGAATGGGGATTTGAACCCTCACCACCAGCTTCAGTTGGGGGAGTGGGGCTTATGGTGGACCAGAGGGTATGTGGCCAGAATGTCTGATTTTTAAAGAGAAAGGGGACTTCGGATTTGATGGGAATTTTCCAGATTTTTGAAATGCTGGTTGGCCCAAGCTGGCCCTTGTGCAATCCCCCACGACCTCTGGGCTGGTCTCAAAGGTTTTAACCTTGTTTCACTAGAGCCTCCCCAAGGGCTGAGTTCCCGGAGGCTGATCCAGATTATGAGGAAACCCTCCTCAAAAGGGCTGCAGGAGGGGGCTTCCCTGGTGCCGCAGTGGTTGAGAATCTGCCTGCTAGTGCAGGGGACACGGGTTCGAGCCCTGGTCTGGGAGGATCCCACGTGCTGCGGAGCAACTAGGCCTGTGAGCCACAACTACTGAGCCTGCGCGTCTGGAGCCTGTGCTCCGCAACAAGAGAGGCCGCGATAGTGAGAGGCCCGTGCACCGTGATGAAGAGTGGCCCCCGCTTGCTGCCACTAGAGAAAGCCCTCGCACAGAAACGAAGACCCAACACAGCAAAAATAAATAAATTAATTAATAAACTCCTAACCCCAACATCTTCTTTCTTTAAAAAAAAAAAAAGGGCTGCAGGGAAGAACAATGCCCTTGAGAGGCACCTTTGTCACAGCGCTGGGGGGTTATCAGTGACGGGCCATAGCGGTTTCATTCCTTCACCTGACATTTATGGAGCACCAGCTGTATCAGGCTCCACGCACAAGTCTCTGCCCCACTTGAGGACTCGGAGCTCAGGTGGATTTTGTATTTTGTTTCTTTGGGTTGCAGGGAACTGTGGTCCACCGAGGCTAACTTGTGAGGCCAAGAGTAGCTCCCGAAAGCAGGAGGGCAGCTGGGCCTTGAGACCATAGGAGCCTCCTTCCTTGTCGTTCCTCACACTTGCCAGGCGCTTCCTGCTCCAGGGCCTTTGCACTGACTGTTCCCTCTCTTCAGAACGCCTTTCTCCCCTGGGCGCTTGCTCATCCTTCAGGCTTCTCTTGAAATAGCACCCTGTTAGTTGTCTTTGAAACACATAGAACTATCTGGAATACTCTTATCCCCCATCCCCCGCCCCATGAGACTGAGAGCTGGACAAGCAGCAGGGACCGAGTCTGTCTTGTTCACAAGACTTGGTACATAATAGATGCTTGTTAAATGATTTCTTAGGGTTTATCAGTTAGGGCAAAGGTTAATTTGCTTGAACATCATCACAAATGGTTTAAATGTGACCAAAGTTTATTTCTGAGCATAGGTGGGCTACGGGGGGCTCCACGGTGTGGGCCTGGCCATCTCAGTTCATCGTGGTGCCTGCCACATCAGGCATTACAGGCTATGGAAACCGGAGGACCTGCCCCTTCTGTTTAAGTGGCCACATCATTCCTCTCAAATCCCGTTGGCCAGAATGTGGTCACATGATTGTTCTCAGCTGCGTGGGAGGCTGGGAAATGTAGTCCCTACCCAGCTCTGAACTCTGAAAATGCGTCCTAATACCCGTGAGAGGATATGGTGGGGGGTCAGCAGCCAGTCTCTGCCATCTGTGTTGTGTTACTCAAATCTGGTGAGAGAATAAAAAAGAGTGTCCTCAACAGAGCCGGGTGGAGGGTAGACACTAACTGTGGGGAAGGGAAGGGCTAGTCAGAGGGAGGAGGACAACCAGGAAGCCTGGGAGTCCAGAGCCTAGAGGCAAGGGTGTGTCGAGGAGACCCAGGGTTTTCGGGCAGTGACACGGCTCTTAGGGGTCACTGATGGCCTTGGCGAGAGCCAGGCCAAGGGCAGGGATGGAGGCTTGATGGGGTGGGTGGGCATGTGCTGATAGGCCCTGTTCCCCCAGGACGTGGAGCTGGCCGAGCACCTCAACGCCAGCCTGGCCGTCTTCCTCAGTGATCTGCTGTCCCTGGTGGACCGCGGCTTTGTCTTCAGCCTGGTCCGGGCTCACTACAAGCAGGTAGGGGTGGGCGTGGTGGGAATGGCACACGTGCAGAGACATGGTAGGAACAACACACCTGCGGAGATGTGGTGTGGACGGCATACCTGTGGGGGACTTGGAGGGGACAGCACACCTGTGGGAACATGGCAGGGGGTGGTGTGGATTGGTGGGCAGAGCAGTGTAGTGTCACCCACTGAACCCTCCCCCACAGGTGGCCACACGGCTGCAGTCGGCTCCCAACCCAGCGGTGCTGCTGACCCTGCGCATGGACTTCACCCGCATCCTATGCAGCCACGAGCACTACGTGACCCTCAACCTCCCCTGCTGCCCCCTGTCGCCCCCGGCCTCGCCCTCGCCCTCTGTATCTTCCACCACCTCGCAGGTGGGCTGGCCTCACATCTGCTTCCTCTTCTTGACCTATGACCTCTTACCTTTCAGCCCTTCTTGTGTGGTTCCCTCATCTCTGTCCATTTCGCAATAGGCCACTGCCCAGGGGACTGACCCCTTACCTCTGACCCTTCATCTCTGACCCTGCATTCTCAGCAGTTTCCCGGGAGGACCAGCTTCTGATTTCTCACCCCTAAATCCTAACTCCCAGACTGGCGTTCCATCTGCCATTTCTCAAATCTCTAACTTTGGACCCTGTGCCCTGTCATCTCACAGATGAGTTAACCCTAACCTCTCACCTCTGACCCTTGGCCCCTGGTCCCTTGCTTTGTCCCCCTCTCCAGAGCTCCACCTTTTCCAGCCAGGCCCCAGACCCCAAGGTGATCAGCATGTTCGAGCTGAGTGGGTCGTTCCGGCAGCAGCACTTCCTGGCTGGGCTCCTGCTGACGGAACTGGCCCTGGCCCTGGAACCTGAGGCCGAGGGGTAAGCACAGGCCCTGCCTGGCCGTGGGGCGGGAGGAAGGTCCAGGAGCCACACCCACTCTGTCCTGAGCACCTCACTACCCCACAGGGCGTCCCTGCTGCACAAGAAGGCCATCAGTGCTGTCCACAGCCTGCTCTGTGGCCATGATGCTGACCCCCGCTACGCCGAGGCCACTGTGAAGGCCCGGGTGGCCGAGCTATACCTGCCACTGCTGTCACTGGCGCGGGACACACTGCCACGGCTGCATGACTTTGCTGGTCAGCAGGGCAAGGCGGGGTGGGGTCCCACGATCTGGGGGCCTGATTGATCCCACAAGGCTCAGGTCGGGAAAGGTGGGCGAGCATGTTAGGAGCAAAAACATGGGTGTTAGGATCAGAGGAGTGGGTTCAAGTCCTGCTGTGGGGCCCCAAGAAAGCCATTAATCTCTCTGAGCCTCAGATTTATCACCTGTAAAATGGAGACAGTGGTAGCACCAACTGCTTCCTAGGATTATGTGAAAATCTGAGGACGTGTAGTACTGGGTTATTGTCAGCGTGCAATACATGGGAGATGAATTATCTTCTAGAAAGAGGTGTGAGGAGGGAAAGGTGGGGAACATCAGTTGGAGCCCTGTGTTTGTTCATTTATGTGCACATTCATTGGCACCACTGATGGACAAGTGTGTTCAGTGGTTGGAAACACAGACCTGGGATTGGTGGGTTGATCCCCTTCGTCATTCGGGGGAAACTCTCAGTTGTTATCTCTTGAATTTTTTTTTTCTGCCTCCTTTTCTCTCTTCTCTCCTCCTGAGACTCCAATTACACGTATGTTAGACCTTTATGATCATGTTACAAGTGTCTGCTGTGCTCTGTTCTGTTTTTCATTCTGTTTGCTCCCTGTGCTTGAGTTGGGAAACTTTCTATTCACATGTGTTTGAGCTCACTACTTCTGTCTTCTGCTGTGTCTGGTCTTCTATTAATCCCCTCCATTGAGTTCTGAATTTCAAATTTTATATTTTCCAGTTGTAAATTTTGATTTTGTGGTTGTTGTAGATTCTAGTTCTCTGCTGAAATTCTCCATTTTTTAACCCATGTTTGTGCATCTTTTTTATTTTTTATTTTAAAGTTTTGCTCACTTCAACATTTGATCATTTCTGTGCCTGCTTCTATTGTCTTTTCTCCCTTATCAGTCACCTTTTCCTGCGTCTTCACATCTTCTGATTTTTTATTGTATTTTGGACATTGCATGTAAAAGGAACATCAGGACTGAAGCAATGTTATCTTTTCCCAGTGAGCATTCCCTTTCTCTCTCTTAGGCAGCTAGGATAGGGGCTGATCACCTCAATCCAGTCAGGAATTCATCTAGGTTAAACTGGGCTGGAGCTTTAGTAAAACTCAGTTGACTTTGACCTTTTATTTCAAGACTCTCTGGAGTGAAATCTGTTCTGTATTTGTTGGCAGCAGCTCTGTCTCTCTGATGAGACTGTGTTTTTTTGGGAGGGGGGAGTGGAGAGAGTACTCTTTTAAGATCAGAGATTTTTTTTTTCTTTTTTTTCTTTTTTTTTGGCTGTGTTGTGTCTTCGTTGCTGTGCACAGGCTTGCTGTAGTTGCGGTGAGCGGGGGCCGCTCTTTGTTGTGGTGCGCAGGCTTCTTATTGCAGTGGCTTCTCTGGTTGCAGAGCATGGGCTCTAGGTGCACCGGCTTCAGTAGTTGAGGCATACGGGCTTAGTGGCTCCGTGGCATGTGGGAATCTTCCTGGGTCGGGCATTGAACCTGTATCCCCTGCATTGGCAGGTGGATTTTAACCACTGTGCCACCAGGGAAGTCCAAGATCAGAGATTTTGGAACCAGACTGTTTAGATTAAAATCCTAGATCTACCATTTACCTACTGTGTGACCCCAGGAAAGTAACTTAACCTCTCTGTGCCTCAGTTTCTTCTTCCACAGAGTAAGGGTGGTAAAAGTACTTATCTCACAGGGTTGTTTTGAAGAGTAAGAGTTAATATTGTTAAAGTGCTTAGACTAGCACCTGACACAGGAAATGCTATGTAAGTGCCAGTTGGTGCTATAATAATAGCAGCAGCATTTATTATTGTGGTTGTCACCATTGCCATCATCATCATCATCATCATCTTCATCATCATCTTTACAATGACTGCAGGCCACGTTCTAAGTGTTGAGTTTAGAGTGACCAGAGCAGATATAGTCCAGGCCTTTGTGGATCTTAGAAACAGTTGCATGATGCATGTATCTAATTACAAGTACAATAAGTGAGCTCTGGGAGTCAATAACTAGAGACTCCACCCTGGTCTGGGGGGTGGAATCAGGGAAGGCTTCCCTGAGGAGGTGACCTGTGAGCTGAAATTTGAGACAGAGACAGCACTTAACCACGGTCTCATTCTTTTCTCCCCCCAGAGGGTCCAGGTCAGCGGTCAAGATTGGCCTCTATGCTCGACTCAGACACAGAAGGGGAAGGGGACATGGGAGGCACCATCAACCCCTCAGTGGCCATGGCCATCGCTGGTGGCCCCCTGGCCCCTGGCTCCCGGGCCAGCATCTCCCAGGGCCCAGCGACAGTGAGTACCAGCCTTGTCCCCAGAGACCCCATCCAACATTTGATTGTTTTTGTGTCTGCGTCTAATGTCTTTTCTCCCTTATCAATCACATCTTCCTGCCTCTTCACATGTCTTGTGATTTTTTTATTGTATTTTGGACATTGTGTGTCCAATAACCTGGTAATGGAACTTATGCAATGAAGTACCAGTTGGCCAGTTCTCATCTTAATATGGAGAAAAATGAAAGTCACCTCTCTCCCTTCTGAGTGCCCTGTCCCCTCTCTGTCCCCAGGCTGCTCGCTCAGGCTGTGCCCTCTCTGCCGAGTCTAGCCGGACCTTGCTGGTGTGTGTGCTATGGGTCTTGAAGAATGCTGAGCCAGCCCTGCTGCAGCGCTGGGCTGCGGACCTGGCCCTCCCTCAGCTGGGTCGTCTCTTGGACTTGCTGTACCTCTGTCTGGCTGCCTTTGAATACAAGGTTCGAGGGGTGGGCAGGGAACTGGGGTATAGGAGTCAGAAGAAGCAGGACCAGGTTAGCCCACAGAAAAGAGTAGAGTCAAACTCTCTGTTCTTGCAGGGGAAAAAAGCCTTTGAGCGTATCAACAGTCTCACGTTCAAGAAATCACTGGACATGAAGGCCCGGCTGGAGGAAGCTATCTTGGGCACCATCGGAGCCCGACAGGAGATGGTGCGACGGAGCCGTGGTGAGAGGGAGATGTACCCCATGCACGTCCCTACCCGGTGCCTCCTAGCCTTTGTACCAGGGGCCCCAAGGCGGGGACCATCTCTGCCTCTATTTGGCTTACTTTTCCCAGAAGGAAGTCGGCGCGTTATCCCCGTACACGTGCGTGTCTATGTTCCCTGTTCACATCTAACTGCATCCACTCTGCAAGCATCCACGTCACCCAGTGTCCTCACAGGGATCCCATGTGTGTGGGATCCATTCTCATGGTCATGCGTGTCTTTCTGTCTTTGCACATCTGTGAACGTGCACTTGTGTGTCTCAGAGAGGAGCCCATTTGGGAACCAGGAGAATGTACGCTGGCGGAAGAGC